AAGACCTCGGCGCTACCTCAGCGGAATTAGTTTATGGCGAGCCATTAAGATTACCGGGAGAGTTCTTGTCTTCGCATTCAGCGGAAGGCACAGAAAATGCTTCCGATTTTACTAATAGACTACGCAACCATTTTTCTAAATTGAGTCCCTCTAATGCATCACGCCATTCCGTTAATCGTACATTCGTTTTCAAAGATCTTAGCAGTTCAACACATGTTTTCATCCGAACAGATTCAGCCAAAACTATTTTACAACCCGCTTATGAAGGTCCATACGCCGTAGTGCGCCGAGGCGAAAAAACATTTACAATAAACATTAGAGGTAAGGAAATAAATATATCAATTGAAAGGCTAAAGCCTGCTTATATGCTAGCAGAAAACAGACCGGATCCCGTGAGCATAGAAAATCAGCCGGTCACACAAACAAACGTACCTGACAATGCGCCGGTTATACAGCAACGTGTCACGCGTTCAGGTAGACGCGTACGTTTTCCCGAGCGATTTCAAATTACGCGGTAGTACTTAAGGCTTGCGCATTATTATAATAAGTATCATATACCATTTATTTTTTTCCATCACTTTTATGTACTTTCATGTATTTTTAGGTATTACGTATTATATATTAAACTCCATGTAAATTCCTTTTTTTTTCAACTCTGTTCAAATACTGTAATGTAAATCTTAGTTAGGATAACGTATTTTATATAATAGAGTAAATGGTAGTGGTAATGTAGTCGGTCAATTTTTCGTAATTGTGCCAATTACTGGCAGGGGGGGTAGTGTGGCGGCCAAGGCACCACATACGCCTTAGCCGTTCGAAGCCGCTACAATGTATGGTTGCACACGAGACGATGGTTGCACACGAGACGATGGTTGCACACGAGACGACCAGAGCCGCGTGAGCCGAAAAGCCGTTGTCGTCGTCTCTGACCGTCTTTTGTTTTTGAAGGCCTCTTGGTACGGTGGCGATGATCGTACCAGAGAGTCGAGCGTAACCCGCACCACGAGTCACGTCGTTGTACGACAGCAACAATAAAATTGTGCGGAACGGAACAGAGCGGAGTCATTATCTTCCCGATCCCACAACACAAATGTTAACAACTCTGTAGAATCGCTAAATAGCTTCTGAAATAAAATTAAAAATATTTTTAACAATACAAAAATCACATTTGTGATATTACAAAATATTATGCGGTTCTTTTCCGTTTGGTACGATTCAAAGTAAAATTTTGTGCTCTTTTAGGTGTATTATTGGTGGTAATTTAATTTGTAAATTGTGAAGGAGACTGTGTGCTCATATTCAAAGAAGTTTCCGTAATTAATTAATTGTCAAATGTCTTAATGCACATTGAGTTGTTCTGTGCAATTGTTATGGACGCTGCACAACTGTTGCCGAGTAATGTTCTTCTAAGTATTAGATGCGTATCTTCCGCTTCATAGAGTGTGCTATTCATTCAGCTAGTGTTACGGGCTCTGGTACATAATTTTATAGCGATGTTGTGCATTGTTTCGAGAGGTTTGAGTGTTTGTTTTTTGCCGGTGTTGTAGACTACACATCCATCAAGTAACTTATGGTGTGATAATGATTTTATAGGTTCTTATCAGTATCGTTGGATCTGCACCCTAGTTGCTATGAGCTATTGGTTTGAGAAGATCGAGTCTTTCCCATTTATCTTTTATTTACTACACAGGTATTTACCAGCTTAGATTCATATTGAATTTCTTTCTTTATATTTCCAAATTATTAACGAATAAAAGTTCTTTTGCGAAAAAGTGTCGAACTTTTTTGTCTATTGATAACTTAAGTTCTGATTTGGTTGATCATCTTTGTAGCTTGTTTAAGATGAGCTGGACATTTTTTGTTTTTATTTTAATGCTTCCTTACTTGAATAGTATTATTAGATATTTAATTATGTCGTTTATTACAGTCAGGAAAAAGGTCAAACTTTTATTCGCGTAGATAGTACTCCATTGCATTTAATTTGAATTTAGCTGTTATTTAAGAGGTTCTTAATTAACTAATATGTGTTTACACTAATCTCTATTAACGTTTTTGTCGTATGTCTTTTCGATATCGATGTAAACAGCTATACTTTCATTGTTAGTATATGAATCACATATGTTTGCTTCATGATTTACTAAATGACTCATAATAAAATAGAGTCAGGATTGCTGTCGTCATATCAACGTGATTTATATATTATATATTTGTTTAATCTTGTTTTAAACTTCGCTGTACCAACCTTCGGTCTTTTCGGACCTAAAAAAAAATACTTTTCCCAACAGTACTCGGTGCAACTTCGAAAAGAAAAGATCTGTTTCACTCGCTTGAAAATATTATTTGAATGAATATAGAACTTTAGGAAGAATTCTATTCTAGAATTTAAAAAAAATCGATTTTTTTTATTTTGTCTTCTTCAAAGTATATGTCCTCGAAACTATTTCTGTCAACGGATACAGTATTGTCTCTATAGAAGCGACGCTCTCGGGGCTCAACGCTCGGCTGTATCGTGGACGAGAAACGATTCTTGATACTTTGTTGACGCCTACTGGAGGCGGCGAGTATAAAAAAGAACAGCGAGCATATGACAAAGAGGGACTGAGCGGCCGAGCATCGCCGAATTTGCTATCGCTTCCTTCGCTTCGGGTCGGCTGTAACGAAACACAGGCGATGTTTATGCGAGCCTATACGAAATCGGTGTTCTAATTCTGACTTCTACCTCTCTTGGTAGAGGTCGCAGAATGAAATACTGATTCTGTATAGGCTCGCGTAAACATCGCCTGTGTTTCGATACAGCCGACGTGGAGTCACTTGAACGATGCATGCCTTTGATTTCTTATTGCGTTAGTAAATAGGACCTAAATTGTATATCGTATTTGGTGTCATTTTAATCAGAAAACTGTCACGAATATGTTGATGAAGTTCGAAAAAAGGAAGAACAAAAATAAAGATAAATTTCGTTGTTGATTTAATATTGTATATGTACTAGTTAAATCGTGTCATAACTTCAGTACATATATGTATGTATCGCTCGTTTACTGCAATAGTGATATGACTCAAAAAGATACAACTTGCGAATTTGAACTGTTTAACCAACTTATTTTACTCTGAGTTGTCTCACGATTTCGGCAAATAAATGATAGGTCAATTAAATTATAATTCCTTTTTTCAGATGAGGATACACTTTAAAGAAAGGTCAAATGTATATTATAATTTATGAAAAACAATAATAAAAATTATGTTGTACTTGATCTTAGTTAAATCAGAAAACTGTCACAGACATGTTAAAAGTTTCAAAACAAGAAAAGGAAAAATAAAAAATTTGTATTATTGCACTAGTGTTGCCTTAGTAATTTGAGCCCGTATCGTATGACAATGTTCGACGACCGACCGTCAAGCGCGCCGCTATCTTGGGGAACCGCCCATAGGAAGGCATACTCGCCGATACAGCGAGTGCTTAGTTCTAACGGTACGCAGTGGGGATAAGTAGAGGGGATATGATATTTGCCTATATCGTGGACGAGTTCCGAGCTTATATAGAGAAAATACTGTATTATCTAATCGTGCATACCTATCGTCTGAACTACGACTTTCCAAATTGTATGCTTTTTACTATTTTTTTTAGTTCGTTAGAAACAAAGAAACGCAGAAAATAGATTCCTTGAATTTAAAGTGTTGTTAAATGTCTAGTTTTTAATACTTGTTAATTATTCTAATTTCTACGATAACAACGTCCATACTGAATAACATGCTTTTTGGTTTTTCCATTTTCCACGAGGAAAACTACCGGAATCATGGCAATTATTGAGACACCTTTGTTTGAAGGACCTTTACTGAGGCTATCATAATTTCTAAACTATTGAATATTTTTCTATGAAAAAAATTGTAGATATTCTTCAGATGTAGATTTAAATATATGTGTTCAGACTTAATACAAAAACATATCACCGTTTCCCCCCCAAAAATTCGAAAGAACTGCTACAAAATTGTGCTCTAGAGTAGAATACACCCATACCACTTTTACTGCTATGTCGTCCATATATGAGTGAAAAATTTTTCACTGTAGAACTAAAACAGTTAATTGTCAAGCTGAAGTGCTAAAGCAAATAAATAGGACTAATGAATTTTAGTGTAGTCACGAAAATAAGTATTAAGACAAATTTTAATTTTAATTTTACGATCGTCTAAAATCAAAATTTTGATCTCATAAAAAATATTACAATTTTGGCAGTCAACATGTTAATATAATGTATGTAATAATCACGTGTGTCAAGAATTTCCAGTTACAATAAAAAAGACTGCACAAATTGCAAAGATACAGAATAATCGTTACTTTTTTAAAACTTTTATATTGACCAATTATGCTGTTAGTACAACTTTCTTTCAAAAATACGACAAAATAGTAGAATCTTGGTTGAAAATATTTGTGCAAGCAGGATCAAATTACAAATCGCGGTGCAATCTGTTTATTCTAACGGTTTAAAGGATGACAATATTTGTTTTCCTTCAAATTATACGTTAGATACAACATTGTAATTAACAAAAATCGCATTCTTATATAGCTCAAAGACAAGTCCAATAAAGAAAACTGATCATGCTTGGTCAGCCCGACAAATATGAGCGTTAAGTGGTTAAATACATCGATAAAATAATTATCAGATCCCAATATCACAGATATAACGGTAGTAAGAATTTCTGTGAGGAGCTGGACTCGACGTAGGACAAGTTGGAACGAAAAACGATGTCGAGTCCGACTGGATGTAGGTCCGCGACGGGTTAAAAACCTCAAAATCGTGCGTAGTCGTACGTTGTGTTTAAAACGAGTTTCCACATAAATCCGTATTTATTAAAACGATCGTAGATCGAAGTCCAAAATTGAATATCGTGTCCCGATAAACTCGCCGAATTCGATTGACGCGTATCGCCATTGCGATTCTCAAGGCCGGTGCTCGAAATGTAACACGTCGCTAACCGCAGACTCGCCTTTTTTCTGATTTCAGATCGATTACCGACCAGTCGGTGAAGTAAAGCGACTGGAAGAACAGGTCGAATCCAAAGAGAAACGGACGTCGTGGTAAAGCCAGAAGAGAGGAGAACCCTGGAGGTGGGAAACGACGGAGAGAGCTCCCTTCAAGCGTTCTCTTCGTTCGTCCGAAAGTTCAAATCCGGCAGTGCATCGTTCGGGTGGCACGAAAGGACGAAATTTGCGATTAACCGGAACGTTATACTTCTTGGAAACAGCCTGGGGCCACGTTGCCCGGTTCTCGAGGTAATTCCCTGGCGCTGATGACGTTCGATTTTCAAACGGACCCAGCGGAAGCCCCATCGACGCACGGGAGAAGCTCGATGACTCTTCTTACCGATCGATAGACACTCCTGGGAGGATGATCGACCCGTGCACGCACGGATCTGGGGGATTTGGCCGAGAATCGCGAAAGTGCGTCGCGTTTACAGGCTACGTGGCGTTTCTTTTTCTGCCGACCGAGAGAAGAAGAAAATCATGAACGCTTTTGTGCGTGGTTCGCGGCACACCGGGGTTCATGGACGACGCGCACCTCGGGCGTGGCTCGTCCTTGCGCGTCTTTCGGTTCGTTGATCGAATCTGCCAGTTTGGTTCGCTTCGTCTCATCCAGCCCTTATTATTTCCTCGCTATTTTCGTTCCGTTTCTTTTCGTTGTTAAATATTTTTCAGACGGACAGCAACCCAACGCTACAACGAAATGGAATACGTTGGCGCGTCGTGCGATTATGAGAAACGCGATGCACGACGAGTCTCTTCTCTCCTATGGTCGGAACGTCGTCGCGTGCGGTAAACCCTCGCATGCTCGACCGCGCCAGCGATCTGGCTTAGGCACTTTGTAAATCGGTCGCGATCGATTCTGCTCGCGGTTTCGCTACCGAGAACCACCTCGCGAACACCGAGCGCCGACGGGGTCCTTGATGGCTGGTGAAACGGGGGCCCCGAGTACCCTTGCTCCATCCCTTCGCGCGCAAGAAACGTAAAACCACGACATACCGCGTCGGGGCACGTTGATGACGATGTTAAACTGGATACTCTTGACGTCGCGTAATGAATCGGTTCTTGATATATTCGATGGACGCGAGCGAGCGTCGCGAGTCGTTGACCGATCGAAGGGAAAAAGGACCGAGGTGACCGGCGAACGACGATACGAACGTAAACGAGTGCATTAAAGTATTAACGGAGAGAACAAATTTGAGCGTAGATCGAATCGAGGGGAAGAGATACGACGACGAGAACTGCCTTCGAGTGCCGCGGACATGTATTGGTGAGCGTACGACACGAGCAGACATGTATATACGAGGCTAAACTAACGCGCGCTTGGCTAGACCAAAACCCCCTCCCGAAATGAAATCAGTTTGACGCAAGTCTGACGTGGATTACAGTGGATAGAGTCTCTGATTGGAATTAAACACGGCTGGATTATTTCGATTCGATCGGTCTTGCGTTTGATTCTAATAGACCAAACCTTACCAAACGAAATGAGTTTGAGACGAACTTGGGTCTGCATTTCAGTAGATCCAGTCATCCGATTGGAATTAAACACAGTTCCATTGCGTTCACAGTTGAATTATTCCGATTCAATCGGTCAAACTCGCGATACCGATTCTATAAGATCAAACCCTACCAAACGTAATCAGTTTGACACAAACCTAGCCTGTACATTTAATAAATACAATCATCCGATTGAAATTAAACACGATTGGATTATTTCGATTCAATTGGTTTCGCACCCGATTCTACTAGACCCTATCAAACTTATCAGTTTGACTCGAACCTGGGTTTACATTCTAATAGATACAATCGGCTAATTGGAATTAAACACGAATTCACGGCGTCCACAGTTGATTTATTTCGATTCAATCGGGCAAACTCTCACGTTCGATTACATTTGACAAAACCCTATCAAACGAAATTTGTTTAACGCAAATTTTTCTTTTAATCTAGTAGATAGAGTCATCCGATTGAAAGTAAACACAGTTTCATCGCGTTCATAGTTGACTTGTATCGATTCAATCTGTCAGCTTCTTGCGTTTGATTCAACTAGACCAAACTCAGCCAATACGAAATCAATTTGATGCAAATCTGATTGGAATTAAACACAGTTTCATCGCGTTCACAGTTGAATTATTTCGATTCAATCTGTCAACTTCTTGCATTCGATTCAACTAAAGCAAACCCTACGAAACGAAATCAATTTGACATGAACCTGTGTTTGCATTCTAGTAGATACAGTCTACAGTTGGCTTGTAATCTAGTAGATAGAGTTATCCGATTGAAAGTAAACACAGTTTCATCGCCTTCATAGTTGACTTGTATCGATTCAATCTGTCAGCTTCTTGCGTTTGATTCAACTAGACCAAACTCAGCCAAACGAAATCAGTTTGATGCAAACCTGGCTTGCGCAAATCTGATTGGAATTAAACACAGTTTCATCGCATTCACAGTTGAAAAATTTCGATTCAATCGGTCAACTTTTCGCGTTCGATTCAACTAAACCAAACCCTACCAAACGAAATCAGTTTGACGTGAAACGATCGGATATAGTTGTGGCAAGTGTGTTGTAACTTGCAGCCGTTCGGTTCACGTTGTCCGGAACTTACAAATCGTGATCGAGCCCGAAACAACAGCAGCTCGACACGTTCCCACGAAAAGAGCGTTCGATGGAAGTTTGAAGATTCGATGGTTCGCGGGGGGGCGATCTGCATCGGTGAACAGCACGTGCGTGCGCGCGCGCAATCAAGAAGTCGGCGGATGTGTCAGTTGTAAGACGCGATGCAATAAAACGCCCGCTCAAAAACTGGTCGTTCCATCTCGCAGCAAATTAATTTTCAAATAAGAACACCGAGGGCCTGTCTCTTCGATATGCTGTATCATTCTTTCGTTCTTTTTTTCCCCCCGTGGTTCCCCCCCGCTCCCGTAGTCTCCACCTGTTTTTCTGTCCGTGTAGCCGCGCGGCCCGCCGCCGACCGATTCCCTTTTCTCCTCTTCTCGCCGCTTTTTTCTCCTTCGACGGTCGTTTTCTTACCGCGGGAACACGTTCCGAGTAACAATCTGATGCGATGCTCGATTGGTTATTACCGTACAGAATAGTAATGACTCGGCCCGTTTAAATAGATTTGCATTTCGGGTAACGAGCATGCGCGCTCGCGCTCGCGCGTCCAATATACGTCGTATGCTCTTGGTCTGGCTTCCGGTGGCCAATTTGTGGTAACAAGACAATTCACGATAGTTTTTGAAAATTCGTTTTCTCGAAATATTCCAATATTTATTTCTACAAAATTAACAATTATATTAGATAATGTATCGAGAAACATTAGATTCCGTTCAAAGATGCAGTTATGGCGACAAGTAAATATATCGCTTCAAAAAATTATTGAATTTCATTGTTTACTTTCTTTTCGTATCCTTCAGTTCCGTGAAACGCCTCGAACGTGGTCAACTAGCGTCCACGACAGTGTCATGAATTTTTTAATTCAAACTTGAACAAACGTCTAACAACCTTTACTCGCTAATCGAAAATACGAAACAGTTAATTCGATGTTAAAGTAAGATTTCACTACGAATTTTCGCGACTTCAGCCTTTCCGTTTTCAGTTCTTTCCTAAAACTATTCGTACAGTTCGAAACTGTCACGGTATCTAATGCATCTGCAGACACGATACACCAAAGGAAATTTATTTGAAAAATAAGTAGCCTCGGACGTTTATTTACAATTATTATCTTTAAGTGTCCAAACGCTTTACAAATTTACACAAACTTAGACCCGAGGTCTTTACACAAAATTAAGTCTCGCAGAGCTTTCTAACAAAGAACTTAACGAACAAAAATTACGCGAAGCGATCTTATCTCGCTGTTCGGTGAACGCATTTTCTGCGTGCTAAGACATCGTTTCTGAATTAAAGAGAGAAACTGCACGAAGCGCTATCCATTGATTTCAATGAAACTACGTTAGCCGAAATACTACGGCCAAAAATACATTTGCGTAGACACTCAATATTCGAATAAGAATCGTGACTCGTATACGTGTATGGAATCTTTATGCTGTAACTATTTTATTGGCAAATCAGCATCTACAAAAATATAATAAAATAAACAACTACAGAAAAATCAACTTAACCCTGAAGTGCCACTATTTCTCACACTTTCCAAAAAGTTCAACATTTTTCGTAGAGTAAGTAATTATATCTTTTCACAGGATCAAGAAGTAATGATTTCTTCTCGTTATTAACAGTGTTTATTTCACGAATATTTATTTATTTATCCGTTTCCTTACATTACAGACGAAATCAACATTAAAAATTCCAAACATGATCATTTTACACTTTCACGTAATAGAGTAAAACCTGTGTACTTCAAATTTTCAATTTTGGCGTGCAAATGTCTTACATGCGGTTCACCGTTTCAAGTACAATATTTTTTAAGGAAGAAAAAATGATAATTATAAACAACGTGGAGAGTATAAATTGATGGATACTAACGTATGTACCTGAAATAGGAGTGTTCCTATTTAGAGTTAAACATTACAAGATTTTAAACAAATTAACAATGGTTACGAAGATCTAGAAATAGTAAAGCTACTGTATTGTTTAAAAAATGTACGAAGGTACTTGACAAACTTTATTGTTCGTTGTTTCGTAAACTATTAAGTGTCTTCGCTAATAGTCGACTGTAAGTTTATTATTCATCGGTTTTGCAATTAATCTATAAAGTTTCACTGAAATCAATACATAACACTACATTGTTCCTCATTTAGAGGGTTCCCTAGTTTCTAGGCGCCTTCATTCCTTTTTGTTATGATCGTGGCACTTTAACAACTCTTTTCTGACCGCGTTTGTTCATTAAGAAGAAGCAAGATACGTTTATTTATTATTTCGAATGCAACAATAGATCCACGATACTTCCTCAAGCGAATTAAACGATACAATCAAACGCGACCAACAGCAGATCTCAAATTTGTGTTCCAGTTAGGGTTGCCACCTATCTTGCTTTCGATAAAGCACTTCTACTTTCAAGTATTTATATTCTATCTTGATATTTTAACGCCCCATTTCGTACGCTCTTTCGACAACAGAATTGTTTAAATTATAGAAATCAAACTTTGCCTGCATAAGTTTCAGATTACATGTACAAATTTGAACATCTTCAGAAAATTATAAATATTGAATTATAACATAGACAAATGTCTGACAAATGGTATCTTTTTTTTAAGATTTTGGGTGATTTTCATAATAAATAATAAAGTGTGGCGGGAGCAGAAATAGATACAGTTTATCAACTACTTCGAGAAAATAAAAAATCGTATAAAGACCAAAGACACGTTGGTGCGATGTTGCACGAGGTCGGTAGCGTTTAACAGTTCGTGCAAAATCGTTTGCAGCGTAACCGCAGATTAATGTGCTTATTATGGCCAAGAGTTCTTTCCTGCATTCTGTCATATTGTGTTATAATTAATATTATAATAATTATTAAGAAATTTTTATTATTCTTTATACCGTACGTTTCGACCTTAAATGTAGATCTTCCACAACGAAGAAGAATACAACGTTAAACGCCAAACAAGCAAGACGAATTAGCTTACAAACGTAGGTATATAAATAATATTTTTGTAGAAAAAGGTTTCAACGTCAGAACGAAATCGAAATAATAAAAGAACAGAAGAATTTATTTTTAAATATCATTTTAGGTTATTCTTTACTTTCTTCTTTGTTCATTTCACGGGTACATATACAAGGTGTCCCAGATTTAAAGTGCAAAATTTTATCAGTAGATTGTCATTATAAATAATTATTAATTATCAGTAGGTGCAGACAAAAAAATGTTACATAAACATGGGTTAAATAAAAATGTGATTCTAATATTCCATTTCGAAATGGACACCACCGTTAGTAATGCAAGATTCACAACGATTGAAAATGGAGTTTATCACCGTACGAAGTTCATTTGTATTTTGTTTTATTTCCGTAAATGCATTCCCGATTTTTTGTACTAGTTCATCACGCGTATCTATGTACTCTTCATTTGCGAATAATCGCGACATTTTGAGTCGGAGTCCAAATACATGCTAATAGTTCTGATAGAAATTAATATCGATAGCTTCAATGACCTCAGATAATAAATACAAAACAAACATTACTGATCTATTACTGCATCGCGTCTCTTACTGTTTCCCTTGAATTTCGATTTTTTTACCAATAAAGTTTCACCCTGTATTTAATTGGCAAATTTATTTACTTTATTGTTTTCTTTTATAATTTAGTACTCATATGTCACAAAATTTATTTTATTTTTTAGATCAAAATATATTTTACTCTTTTACCTCGTAAGTTGACGTTTAGCTAATTTCATAATTATCGTATTTTACCCAAGAAGACGTACACCTAAGATCGAAACGTTTATCATAAATAATAATATGTTTCCATTCACAATTTCTTCCCCGTTTCGAAGAATATTTCCTCGAGTCTTCCGGAACTGGGGTTACCACCTTCCGAAGAGCAAAGATCGACTGGAGAACTGGAAAGACAATGTCGCGTAAGGTATAAGGTGTATACGTTTTCTTTTTATGAAGAGCAATGTGTTTATTAGGTCGAAAAACTCGAGGAAATATTCTTCGAAACGGGGAAGAAATTGTGAATGGAAACATATTATTATTAAAACATTAATTGTCACGAGGCAGGAACAATCACCGATCACTTCAAACTGTAACAAACGCGCGCAAAAATGTATCTAATTTCTTCTCAGTTTATTGAAACATTTTATTTTGTTGGATGGGTAAATAGTACAGTTTGTTTCGCATTGTTTCAGCGAAATTAAATTAAATTCATGGTTATATTACACTACTACATTGATATGTTATTACGTTTCTTCTTACTACAGCTCTAAACGATCATGAAAAGTATGTAAAAGCAGTGCTCTCACGCCTGTTTTTCCTTCAAACATTTCCCAACGCACCGTATGTTGTCAGAGCAACCGTACGACGCTAAAAAAGCAGTCATGGCAAGTTTTTTAATACAAAATCGTTGGATAGAAATTATTTAAATTAATTAAAACATTAATTGTCACGAGGCAGGAACAATCACCGATCACTTCAAACTGTAACAAACGCGCGCAAAAATGTATCTAATTTCTTCTCAGTTTATCGAAACATTTTATTTTGTTGGATGGGTAAATAGTACAGTTTGTTTCGCATTGTTTCAGCGAAATTAAATTAAATTCATGGTTATATTACACTACTACATTGATATGTTATTACGTTTCTTCTTACTACAGCTCTAAACGATCATGAAAAGTATGTAAAAGCAGTGCTCTCACGCCTGTTTTTCCTTCAAACATTTCCCAACGCACCATATGTTGTCAGAGCAACCGTACGACGCTAAAAAAGCAGTCATGGCAAGTTTTTTAATACAAAATCGTTGGATAGAAATTATTTAAATAGTCATACTAGTCGTCCTCGAGCATTGAAGAAACGGTGGATAAAACAAGATTTAAATGATAGTCATTGGTGACGCGATCATTGATACGCGAGTTGTGTGGTTGCCTTCTCATCACACGGTAATCCTGACAACCTACTCAGGGGGTTTGCAAAGTCGTGGTGAACACCATATATTTTCTACGTGGAAGCTGTGTTTTTTGTGTGGATGGAGTATATCTCCCTGCAAAAAATATGTGTATCAAATAATCCACCAAAAATGCATATATTTCACACACAAGGATCATATATGCTCCATAAAAAATACGCATTACACGTAATACATTGAAAGCCACATCCTCCACTCAAAAAAAAACTACGCAAGAATTTCATACAAAACACGTATTCCACAAATAATTCTGTACAAGCGTCAAACGTTTTACACTATACGTGATCATGTGATGATGTATACAAAGTTTTAATTATAAAATTGTTAATCGCAATCTCGACTAAAAAAAATTGACGAATTGTAATCGAGCAATTGAGTTTTGAGCAATTAAAATTGTTCATTGTAGATAGAAATTAACAATTTCGATTGTAATTGTCGATTGTAAATTTAATTACGTTTTGTCCACACTGCAGCATAATCGCGACCTTAGCCAATCGGTGCCTCGGTTGAAGCGAACGCGTTCGTCATGGCTCTTACCACATTTCAGCCAGGTTTCATCGACTTTTTCTTAGCGATTCTTCGTCGGATTTATGTTTCAAAAATAAAATTAATTCAGTTTCTTTTTAGTTAGGAGCGATGCTTCTTTAACCCTCTATCACGCGACATTTGTTGTATTTTACAAAAATAATAAAAGGAATCACTAGGTAACATTCATATTAAATCATTTTTTTAGCTCATTTTCATTTCGAAGGAAACCCAAGAGAACTTCAAGTTCAATGCTGTAAATAGTCTATGTATATTAATTACATTCACTTTGGTCTTTATACGATTTTTTATTTTCTCGAAGTAGTTGATAAACTGTATCTATTTCTGCTCCCGCCACACTTTATTATTTATTATGAAAATCACCCAAAATCTTAAAAAAAAGATACCATTTGTCAGACATTTGTCTATGTTATAATTCAATATTTATAATTTTCTGAAGATGTTCAAATTTGTACATGTAATCTGAAACTTATGCAGGCAAAGTTTGATTTCTATAATTTAAACAATTCTGTTGTCGAAAGAGCGTACGAAATGGGGCGTTAAAATATCAAGATAGAATATAAATACTTGAAAGTAGAAGTGCTTTATCGAAAGCAAGATAGGTGGCAACCCTAACTGGAACACAAATTTGAGATCTGCTGTTGGTCGCGTTTGATTGTATCGTTTAATTCGCTTGAGGAAGTATCGTGGATCTATTGTTGCATTCGAAATAATAAATAAACGTATCTTGCTTCTTCTTAATGAACAAACGCGGTCAGAAAAGAGTTGTTAAAGTGCCACGATCATAACAAAAAGGAATGAAGGCGCCTAGAAACTAGGGAACCCTCTAAATGAGGAACAATGTAGTGTTATGTATTGATTTCAGTGAAACTTTATAGATTAATTGCAAAACCGATGAATAATAAACTTACAGTCGACTATTAGCGAAGACACTTAATAGTTTACGAAACAACGAACAATAAAGTTTGTCAAGTACCTTCGTACATTTTTTAAACAATACAGTAGCTTTACTATTTCTAGATCTTCGTAACCATTGTTAATTTGTTTAAAATCTTGTAATGTTTAACTCTAAATAGGAACACTCCTATTTCAGGTACATACGTTAGTATCCATCAATTTATACTCTCCACGTTGTTTATAATTATCATTTTTTCTTCCTTAAAAAATATTGTACTTGAAACGGCGAACCGCATGTAAGACATTTGCACGCCAAAATTGAAAATTTGAAGTACACAGGTTTTACTCTATTACGTGAAAGTGTAAAATGATCATGTTTGGAATTTTTAATGTTGATTTCGTCTGTAATGTAAGGAAACGGATAAATAAATAAATATTCGTGAAATAAACACTGTTAATAACGAGAAGAAATCATTACTTCTTGATCCTGTGAAAAGATATAATTACTTACTCTACGAAAAATGTTGAACTTTTTGGAAAGTGTGAGAAATAGTGGCACTTCAGGGTTAAGTTGATTTTTCTGTAGTTGTTTATTTTATTATATTTTTGTAGATGCTGATTTGCCAATAAAATAGTTACAGCATAAAGATTCCATACACGTATACGAGTCACGATTCTTATTCGAATATTGAGTATCTACGCAAATGTATTTTTGGCCGTAGTATTTCGGCTAACGTAGTTTCATTGAAATCAATGGATAGCGCTTCGTGCAGTTTCTTTCTTTAATTCAGAAACAAAATTTTAATTCTTAGCACGCAGAAAATGCGTTCACCGAACAGCGAGATAAGATCGCTTCGCGTAATTTTTGTTCGTTAAGTTCTTTGTTAGAAAGCTCTGCGAGACTTAATTTTGTGTAAAGACCTCGGGTCTAAGTTTGTGTAAATTTGTAAAGCGTTTGGACACTTAAAGATAATAATTGTAAATAAACGTCCGAGGCTACTTATTTTTCAAATAAATTTCCTTTGGTGTATCGTGTCTGCAGATGCATTAGATACCGTGACAGTTTCGAACTGTACGAATAGTTTTAGGAAAGAACTGAAAACGGAAAGGCTGAAGTCGCGAAAATTCGTAGTGAAATCTTACTTTAACATCGAATTAACTGTTTCGTATTTTCGATTAGCGAGTAAAGGTTGTTAGACGTTTGTTCAAGTTTGAATTAAAAAATTCATGACACTGTCGTGGACGCTAGTTGACCACGTTCGAGGCGTTTCACGGAACTGAAGGATACGAAAAAAAAGTAAACAATGAAATTCAATAATTTTTTGAAGCGATATATTTACTTGTCGCCATAACTGCATCTTTGAACGGAATCTAATGTTTCTCGATACATTATCTAATATAATTGTTAATTTTGTAGAAATAAATATTGGAATATTTCGAGAAAACGAATTTTCAAAAACTATCGTGAATTGGTCGTTAAAGAGATTGGTACCATTTGGTTGCAGAGGATCAGTCGTTAAGAAATTGAACAGAACTGATTTCGTATTCCGTTTAAAGATGCTTTTCTCTCTTTCCCAATAAAATTGCAGTGCCGATCCGCAGTATGGCGTCTTGCACGCCACATTTTAATATATATACCCCCCTATTTTGTCGTCAATGCGACTTCTTGTTATATCTAACAGCGGTCAGGTGTTACGTGCACAACAGAACACTGGTAATTGTTGACATAAACGGTTGACTCTCCACGGGGACGTTAATATCCTGCAGTTTCGTGTTTCTGGCTGTTCGTTCTACAAACCATCAGTTTAAATATAATACCATTGACTACGTGAGAAGCACAGGATGGCGAACGAAAAGTGTTGATTGCGGAACACGCGAACGGTCGAAAACAATGAAACTCGAAGTGCGCTCGCGGACCGGAAGTACGCGTTGCGTTCCCGCCACGACTTTGCCCTGTATTTCCCGTCAATTTTTAACACTTTCACTGCCACGTAAATTGACAGGACTTTCCACTCTGGAACAAGGAAAAATTTAGGTTTTGTTCTAAAATCAAATAAGTCATCAAAATATCAAATAAGTCATTGATTTGTTTACAATGGTACACAATCAAAATTTTTGTCTTGCAGAATATTGTACGAATTTGATCTGGTAATGTGTTAATGAAAACTATGCTATTGTTTAAAACAAAAAAGAAAAGAATTTTATGTTATGTCGTTTGCAATGGTCCAAAATCAAAATTTTAGTCTTGCAGTATATTGTACGGTATTGATCTGGCAACGTGTTAATAAAAACTATGCTATTATTTAACACAAAAAAGAAAACAACACATACAAAACGTAAATGTGACATCGAAAATACATAAGAAGCTTTGTAATATTTTTCAAAGACAGACACAAGTTGAGGCCATAGCCTGCAATATTTAAATGTTAATAAAAAAAGTCACAGGGAATGGTGTTACAAATTGTATTTTTCAATCGAAAAATACAAGGAATGCAATTTTGGTTTTACGTTGTCTGACTCTTAACGAACTTGCATAGTCTCCTTATGAAAAATTTTAATAGCAGATTATACTTAATATGAATTTCCCTTATGTTCATTTTTAATTGAAAAATGTCTTCTTTAATTCAATTAAATGACTGGTAGACAACTTGATATAAAAAAATGATTAGTGAATGAATGAAAAAAGATAAGTTTAATCTAAGGAAAAAATTTGTTTCTGGTTTTTCGATCCATTTTTTACTAAAAATCACTCATTTGATTGTAATACGAATTACATTCCATCCTTCGTAAAAGATGTGAATTTAATTTGCAAGTTACCAGAATTTATTTAATTTCTCCTAAAGTAAACGAAATTAACGTTGATATTAATAAAATACAAATTACGAACGTCCTTCAGATTAAACTAATTTTTACGTTTTCCTTTTATACTGTTAAATAAGGTGGTGAGTTCTAGCTTTGTAAATAGGCTACTAACGCATGTCCCCCGGTCGTTTTTCTCCCTTGTTTTTTCACTTTGCTATTAGTTTCATACTTTCAGTATTCAAAAACGATCAACCATCTTTCGACAATCCAAAATTTCAAATTTTTATTCAGAGCTCCAAGAAGCTGATACTAATCTTCATGAAACTTTTGTAAAAAAATGAAAACTAAGTGAATTGTAAAGTTTCATCCCCTCGATGCTACAATGACTAACTGTCGCAGGTAAATATTAAATTCTTTGTCGAAATAAATTCTCGGTATCCCGGATCCCACGGATAGTTTTCAGAGCAGAATACGAAGATTGCAACTTTGATGGATAATTACATCCTTGAAACTTGAGTTATCGTAACGAAGAAACATTATGCGCCTATTACTTTTTATTGTTCTATAAATCTGTAGCTTCGTTAAAATTAACGTTGGACGCTTAATGGACGTGCGTTGTCCGTTAAATTTACGTACGCAGCGTTGTAATAAAATTGCATCCGAAAAAGTGCAGCGACGCGCATCGGAGGTGCTGTTTATCGAAAAATGCCAGTCGAAACGTTATCATCTTAAATCTTATTACCCGTACAGAAGACGTCGTGTACCGAGGCGTTACCAGTCTCTCCGAGATTTTTCACCGATCCAATCACCGTTAATAGAACAATTTTCAAAGGCTTCGTTTAATCGTCGCTGTAAATCATGTACACTGTCGCAGCCGCGCGGCAGCTTGCCTATTTTCTCACGTGAAATATGTGTCCGCCGCTATGGTCGTGCTCGTTTACGCGTCAAAACACGTGCATTAGCGTGTGCACCCGGGACGAACATTATTTCGCGGGATAGAGCGATAAAACATTGATCCACGTTGCATAAATTTCTCGTTGGTCATCGGGTCTCGAACAAGCTCGTAAAATTTCTGAAAATTTTTCATAATCCTAGCCGATCTTAAAACGCTAAATTTATCGTAGAATGCCATGCTCGATTAAGTAGAGATTCAGTTTTCTGCGCGGTGTTCGCGGGTTCGTGTTGCGAACTCGTACGCGTCAACGCTCGTACGGATAGATAATAAAATGTTATTAAACAATTTCATCCGGGAATTAACCGTTTTTGCCGATTTACGTGGATACGTAACTTGGAAATATTTTAATAACGTTTCTAACTTTCCGGGTGCTCGATGTGACGGAAGAATTATTTTCAAATTAATGCAATTTTACTTCAACGAAGCGGACATAAGTCGAAAGATGAGAAACGTTATTAAATATTACCTGTAAAGGCAAAGTTTAATCGAGAGACAATCGAAAGACTGTAAATATAGAAACTCCTCGTAACTCTGAAAGTTTTCGAATTACTGTTTGCTAATAGTTTTCTGTTCCGTTTCATGGGTATTACACGCGTACGAAGTTTGCACCATGAATTTGTGAATACCTCTTATATATGAACCGGTAATTATGAAAATGATCTAAGTCATTGATTTGAAATATTCTTTTAACTCCATATTAATAATATAGATTCTTTAATTAAATCACTTCGATAATCACCGGCACGTATGTACGTATTACTTCGATTATAGATAATATTGCTCGACGCTTCCGAATACAAGCTGTATCGAAAGGAATGTCTAATATTTCGTAATTCTTGCAATTTATTGCAATTTCTAAAAGAATACAACTTATATTCAGAAGCATCAATTGCAAATACTACAATAGAACAGTGAAAGCGTTAATTATGTGTTTAGATCGCTCAAAGAGTTGTCATCATTTGCATTTATCTTTCTTACGAAAATGTGTGCTGATTATGGGTCGATGAGAATATCGATGTAAATCTAATTCTGCTTTATAGCATTCATTTACTACTACAATTCAACTTTCACATTGCCAATCAATGTTTGGGTACACTTATATTATGTATATTTTGGAGACGAATAGGGTTACGAATTGGAGATCGTTCGATCTCTCAAGTTTCGACTCCTTAAAAACGATTTATGTCATCCATGCGTAGAACTGAAATAATTAATTCTCAAGTTGAAATGTTAAAGACCTATAAATATTAGCGAGGTTACGAAGAAAAGTACTAAGACAAATTTTAAGTTATGGAATTCATAATTGTCTAAAATCAAGGTTTTAATTTCACACAAAACTTCACAGTTTTGATCGGCAGTCAACGTCATGAAATCTTGAAAATCATGCTATATTCTGAGATAAATTAAGCTACTTAGTAATAGCCCATTGATACTTGACTACAACATTTCAAAACTTTACTGTTTATCGACGAGAGATCTATAAATCATACATAATAGTTCAAATCCCTTTTGTTCTTTTATTGAAAAAGGCAGTGATATTGTATACGATATAAAGTGAATACATCGCAATACTCTGTATAGCAAGAGCAGACAATTTTGTGTCAGTTATCGAGGAGAACGTTCAATCAATTAGCGAGGTAATACTTTCTGTGGCGATTAAAACAATCTTTTTTGAAAATTGGTACGAGTCAAATGAGAAGCATGTTTTATTGGTTAAATGGAGCACATAATTTTTATGTGAAAATAGTAATCGAGAAGAAAAAAGGATATCACCGATCAGAACGTTTTTTTGTCAAATACTTTTGTATTACTTGTATTATAACAAAGTCTACCCAAACGTTTGAGCTATAGTGTGCGGGTAATGTATCATGATACTGTGCTGCTATGAATCGAATTTGTCTACTATCGATATTTTTACCTTGATGGAAGATTAATCATAGAACATTAATCTATCGTTCCTAAAAAGAAATCATGAACATCGGGTTATGGTATTACGTTAATTGTAATCGACTTATTATGTTATACTTGAATAAGTTTAGTTTAATTTTAGAACAAGCCCCAACCTATATTGCGTTAACGTAACACGAGCGGATTGGATATACATGTAACTCTAACTTTAGAAAATTATATTAACGACTCCGTAGGCTGTAACAGAGCTAGTTTCAGTTTATTCGGTTTAATCGCTGTTATTCCAAATCGACAATATGATTGCGCAATTATTCTTATACGTGACTAAAATAGAATAGAAAGTTCTGGAAAGTAAAAGGAAGGCTGGAATCCTCGTTAATCAATACCGATTCGTTGTTATTTCGCTGCTTGGAACGACGAGAATACGCGAATATCGTTATTAACCGCAAGCAGTCGGTCGACTCTCCACTTTTTATATTTTTGGTATTCCACTTGTTCGCATATTTCGGGATATTCGACGTGTGATTTGGGCGCTCTCGGGCTGCCTCTATAAGGGTAAAAAATAGCTTCACGCACGACACCAAAAATAAATTCCCATCGCGTAAACGTGAAAGTAAGAAGATCAAAGACAAGTTTTACCTGTCACTTTACATTGTTTTCTTTTTTTTGTGTGATGCATTCTTCACGAAAATATTATTTCCTAAATGAAACGAACTAATCGCACCCTGCACGTTAGATCGTCGTCGTCGTTGTTCGACTGTGACTCGCGATCGCTTGCGTAAGCGTTCTGTAAATAAAAAAAAAAAACTGTCTCTGTGAATCCCTTACTTACCGTGAAACACGCGTACGCGTACGCTTCAACATGGCAGGCTATGAACGAAGCGAGAACAGCGATATTTTTGTTCCGTGTCCTGTCGGGGCACTCCAGGAGGCTCGATGTTCGAAAATGAACGATTGTACCCGTTACAGTTGCGAGAAAATCAACTGGCTGCTCAAGGCCGCTTCCCTTACGTCACGCACAACTCCTAGTTTCTCGCGGTATCAGCTTTCTTTTCTATTTAGCAAACGGAAACCGAGTACGTATCGACGGAAGAAATTGTACAGTACGCCTCTCGAGTTACGCGAATTCGCAAAACACACGGTTGTACCCCCACTTATGTCTTTATACATATTTTGTATGCGTGTATGTAATTACGTATTAAATAAAGTTTTCTTTCCATCAATTTCTTTTCGCATAAGAGAATACGTGTGGAAACTCTTTACCTTCAATTCATACCCGATATACTAAATGTATTGTATGGAGAGAGAAAGATCGGGCCTGGATGGAATTTTTAGTCGCATTTGAGTAAAACAAAAATTACTCGATATTGTTGACATTCTTAACTCGGTACTGATATTCATTTTCCCCTGCAATACATACTATTTACACAACAGTCTGCAGGAAGAGGTTAGGTTATCGAGGATACTAAATGTATTGTAGGAAGAAAGAAAGATCGGTCCTGGATGGAATTTTAAGTCGTATTTTACCATAAAAGAAATTATTCGATTGACATTCTTAACTCGGTATTAGATATTCATTTTCCCCTGCAATACATACTATTTACACAACAGTCTACAGGAAGGGGTTAGGTTACCGAGTATACTAAATGTATTGCAGGAAGAAAGAAAGATTGGTCCTGGATAGAATTTTGAGTCGTATTTGACTATAAAAGAAATTACTCGATTGGCAATCTTAACTCGGTACTGATATTCATTTTCCCCTGCAGTATATACTATTTACACAATAGTCTGCAGGAAGAGTTTCATAATGAAATCAATCGAGTCATATATTTTTTCAGATGCCAACTTTTCAACTCTGAACAATAGATATGATTCGTTCGACAAGAGGAAGCAGCATTTATCTTTATTCGTGACTGTATGCTTCGTTGCTTGGACGTTCTTTTATATATTCCTTCCAATCTTTATACTTTGCAGAATTACGCAAAGAGGTTAGTAATGGCGTCACGATCGCCGCAAAATGGCAAATGACACTTCTCCTACTAGAAAAGATTGAGACTTGAATGTATATTCGAATATTTAAAAGGAGCGTTGTAATTTTGTCGGGCTGCAGGACGATGACGAACATTGATTCGAAGTTCCCTGTCACCCGTGTTTACGTGTATGTAAACGACGACGCGTACGGGTGGATGGACATAACGAGGATTTTAGAGCCTCGTGTTCGGTGACGGTTTTGTTTTTACAGCTTGTAACGACTCGCATAAAAGTGGCCCGTACGAGAGATCGGAAAAGAGTCTCGTGGAACGAGACGAAAATCGAAGTACAAGAAATGAGAAATAAGAGAAATAATCTACTATGCGTTTCGTCTACTTGTATCAATAATTTTTATCGGTGTAGTTATTTAATCGACGTCGGACGAACGAAATCGAATATTTTGCAATCGTCAGGGCGAAATTTTTGAAGTATGCACGTATTGTTGTTCATGGATTCTGTGTATATCGCGTTCTTTTAGGCGTTAAGATATAATGCATTAATAAATAATTATAGATCTCACGGTGTTTTTTTATGGGGATGCATCCTCAAACTTCTCCGTTCTGCCCTTATATTTCATTAAACTAATTATTTCTTTTTCTTGTTTATATATTTATATAAAGATTCCTAAGAACAAAATGCAAAAATTATTTTGGTAACCATAATCAAGGAATCTATTAGGACTATCATGCATATTTATACACTAAATTTATTTATAGACAAAGTATTTTCATCTTCTAAGTTTCCATCAGTAGGATTTTAAGAGATTTGTCATTTTTGCTTGTTTAGTCTTTTTTTTAAGATTTGGGAAAGTAGAAATCATTTTGAAAGTTTTATTCATGATTCAACATTTCATTTTCTTTAAAGTCATCAAGTAGTCATTCCTTGTAAATAATATACTTTCAAATTCATCTTTGATAATTTTTACAAACGATTTTCACTATTTATAGATATTACAAAATTGAATAACACACGGTTTTCTCCACTGCATTTTTAATGTTTCAACAGTAGTTAAATAATGTATGCTTTAAAGTTCATAACAAGTTCCAACATCTTTGTATCTTTTCTTAGTCTTTTTAACAGGGTTAAAAAAAACGCACGCTAATTGGTTCGCAGAAAATGTACTGATAATTATGCGCACCATGTATGGATATTTCAAATTAATCTTTTGGTCGATATACCGTACAGTGCAGTCGTGTTCATTTGTTTTATCAGGCCTTACCGTTTTTTAAGCGAAGGAAAATAATACATTTATATACTGTTTATTAATATTTAATTTACGATTTAATTTCCATTAACATTAACAACTTCTGTCCGTTCTGATAACAAAAACAAAAAACGATCTTCTTAAAACGCCACTCTGCGTACCTGAAATAATTGTATGCTAAACGGCCAGAACTTTCCTGCAAACCTAATAATTCTCCTTAAACACATACATTTCTTTTTACATAGCCCTTTTTTTGCACGTTTTTCTACCCGATATACATCCTCCGTGTAAAAAGAGGCTCAGGTGTATTTCATGCCATAATCATAAACCATCAGGGGCGGATCCAGGGGAGGAGCGAAGGGTGCGATCGTCCCCCTACCTCCAAAGAGTTATGAAATATTAAAAAAATGTATTTATCGTTCATTTTGCATTACATTATATAAAACTTTTTCAGCATGCGTTCGTGTATAAACGGATAAAAATAATAGTGATAATAAATAATCATTTTCACACCGATTGTTTATTATCATTGTTAGTTTTATTCATTTTAATTAACGGGAAAACCCCTTTAGTACGAAAAGAAGTAATATATAAGGGAACACAAAATAAAAATTGTACAGAGAAAGTATTATCGCTCGTAAAATTAATGTACAAATGCAAGGATAGTTTTAAACTTTTTGAGGATTGTTCCATTATATCTGCTTTTGCGTGTCTGAAGTAGCATGAATCATTCTATATATACAATTTTGAGTAGACATTTCGATAATACATTCAATAATTGCTGGACATGAAATATGACCTTCGAGGCTTTGGTTTATATCGAGTAAAAATATTAATAGATAAATGATAAACAAGTTTCAAATGAAACAAACTATATCTGAATATACTGACTCATCCAAATTCAGAATATTTTTTAATAATTTGTCTTCATCTTATAGTAAAGGAAGTGTGTTAAACTTGTTAAGAATTTTAATTAACAATCATGAATTTTAAAGTTGTATGTTCATTATCTGTCGATAAAATACTAATAAAGTTTCATGTTGGTCCATAAATAAGTTTTTCTTTTTTTTCTCTCTCGTTGCTCTTTGCCATTTTTAGCCAATAATTACATTCTTTATTAATTTATTTGTTTAAATATGTGCTTCTGCATGTACAAATTTTTATCGAAATATTATCTTGAGCATCTTTGAGACAGACGAACAAAAAAAAATTCTAACAAATTTAAAAATATCGATGCAGGAAAAATTTGTGCATACAGAGGCACATATTTAAACAAATAAATTAATAAAGAATGTAATTATTGTCTAGAAAAGGCAAACAACAACGAGAGAGAGAAAAAAGAAAAACTTCATCATGAAAAAATCATGAATTTAAAAATTGTATGTTCATTATCTGTAAAATAGTAATAAAGTTTCACGTTGGTCCATAAATAAGTTTTTCTTTTTTTTCTCTCTCGTTGCTCTTTGCCTTTTTCAGACAATAATTACATTCTGTATTAATTTATTTGTTTAAATATGTGCCTC